GTGGTTTCGGGTGCGGGTTCGAGTGAACCCAAACCCGCAACCGAAATATCGGGTGGCAACCAAACTCGAACCCGAACCCAGTCAACTCAGGTTTTCACCTGTTGACTCGAGTTCGAGTGGATCCCACAGATTTGGGTTTGCCTGCCATCCCTATAGCTCGCCCAATGATTGAAAGAAAGATAAAAGGATATTTTGAAGATGATTTTGGCCCGAAGAAAATTCAAAACCTTAATTCTCTAAGAAAGCCATCCTTCACCTAGTGAATAAAGATACAAGTTGAAATTCATAAATAAAGAATTGGACTGTCAAAGGCGATGGATATCATTTTAGGTATTAGATTAGTTATACTATGTATTACACCAATGAGAAAGAGCAAGAGGTTTGTAACATCGAAGGCATGTCAAACTAGATACAACAAAGGATTGAGAGATTGTTCGGTGTCGTGCTACTTCGAGTTCTTTTGTATTGCTACTATCACTATGAATAACTAAGTTTTTTTTTTGTTTTCACACTCTAATTCTCAAGAGAAATGGAACCTTAGTAATCTAGAGCTCGTGCTACGGAGGCACGTGCATTGGTCATACGTTGTTTCTGCTAGGAATCAAACTCGATATTTCCCGAATATCGTCCTTTGAAGAGACAACTAAGTTTTCTTTTGTTGGAGTTAGATTTGTACATGTTTATATATTACTTATGATCATGGTGTTATGTCTATTTTAATTATTCAATCACATTGATATTTATACTTGTGTTTAATGACTTATGTATATTTGTGCATAATATGACCTGATAATTTATAAGATATAATTTGTTAACTTTGATCAATGAGAAACATTCATTATGTTTAGTTATAGGGATGTTAACTAAGAGAGATGCCAAAAACAAAGATATTAGATCTTGGTGGGAGCAAAATCAAATAAAACTTTTTACAATGGCTTATTTGCAATTCCCACTATCTAAACCATAATTTCAATGTTTTAAAATCTAGACCGGTGATCAATTCGGTAAAGTTACTGGGTCACTGAGTTACTGATCGGACCAGTGGGTCACTGGTCAGACCGCATGGCTTTTGATCCAGTTTCTATAAAAAATATATTTATTACCTGAAATTTGTAACTATAATAATATAGAAAATTATAAATTCAAATAATTTAGAATAAACAAAAGTATTAGTAACAATCAAAATAAGTGATAGATACTTAATGTAGCAAATTATAAATTCAAAGAAGTGATAGAAACTTAATAATTCATAAGTTATAGTATTATAATAAGTCACAAAAATCCATACTCAACGATCCATAATTTTTTATGTCCATGAAGTTAAATTGTCATAATCTTGATATTCATATCCATCTTCAACTTCATTGTCTTCTCCACCAACTTCATCTTCTTTGGTGTTGCTTTTTTCTTGATTCACAGTATCAACAATAGTATCTTGTGCATTACCCATATCTCCATCTTCATCCTCATCTAAATCTATTTGATCTATAACAATATTTTAAAAAATAATTAACAAAAAAAATTTAGAGATGGTAAATATGAGACATTAAATTGATTCACAACCACAAACTATATTATGCTCATATTAGAACATACCAATATCACTTGAAATTGGTTGGATGGTCATATTTGCAAGGTCATTCCGCAATGCTTCCAACTCTTCATTGGTTAAGAGAGGTGGTGAATCCTCTAATACCCAACTAGAATGGTCGGAAATTATTTCAATATTGATAGGATTATAACTCCCATTTCTTATTTTCCTAAGCACACATGAATTAAATCTAAGTATATGTATTTAAATATAAAAATATAATGATCAGAGAAAAATAACCATAATAATACCTATTTTGAAGTCTCAAGTTGTAACGGACAAACACTAAATCATTAAGCTTTTGGTTCTCCAATCTATTTCTTTTTTTGGAATGAATATGCTCAAATATACTCCAATTGCGTTCACAACCCGAAGCACTACAAGTTTGACTTAAAATACGAATAGCTAACCTTTGCAAAGTTGGTGTACAAGTGCCATAAGATTCCCACCATTGATCTGTTTATACCATGTGATTAAATAAATTTATAAACATATTATAATATAAAATAAAATATATATCAAGAGTTAGAAGTTATGAAATTACCTGCCCTCACAATACATCGTTCATCCACGGCTGATTTCCTTCCAAAATCTAATTCACCGTCTTTGAATATTCTCATCTCATCTGTTAACTTCAATCGAAGTTCAGAATTTCCATTAGCATGCTTTTCAATGACATCTAAAAGTCCTGATGTTGTGGATGCATGTTTTTCAAATTCTACATCATTATATCTACAAGCTGGATTCAACCAATAACCTGCAGCATGAAGATTTTTACGGAGCTGTGAATCCCAACGTTTATCTAAGATTTTCAAGTAAGGATCCACTTTCTTCTTATTTCTTTGAAACCTCCTCACCATCTCCTCTCTAGCTTTGACTATAGATTTGTATAGAATGCCCATAGCAGGTTTATCTTCACTATCAACAATACGCAACACACACACAAGTGGTTCAGTGAGTTTAACTACATCAGCATATTTACTCCAAAATCTAGAATCTAAAACTTGATCCACAAACTGTTTTGCCTTTGCTTCCTTGGCATATGCTGAGCTTGTCCATTCTTTAGATGTTACCATGACTCTTAGTGAGTTTTTGTGAGACAAAATACTTTGCAAAGCAATGAAATTAGTGGCAAACCGAGTTGGAGCAGGACGAAGGATTTCTCTTCCACCTGTTTTCTTTCTCATTAAATACAATGCATAACAATGGTTATAAATATATTTGGTAATATTAGAAGCATGTGACACTGTCTCACTTACTTCCTCTAATTTTCCCATGTCTTGCAACATCAAGTTAATGCAATGTGCCGCACAAGGAGACCAAAATAAAGTAGGAAATTAATTTTCTAATAACTTTCCAGCAGGAACATAATTTGCAGCATTATCTGTCACTATGTGAACTACATTTTCAGGCCCAACAAATAAAACCACCTCTCTAAAAAGCTTATACAACATATCTGCAGTTTTTGAAGCATGAGAAGCATCAACAGATTTTAGAAAAATAGTACCTTTAGGACAATAAACTAGAAAGTTTATAAGAGTTCTTCTTTTTTGATCAGTCCATGCATCAACCATTAGAGTACAACCAGTTTTCTTCCAAATCTCACGATACTCCTCTATCAATTTGTTCACATCTTCAACCCATTTATTTAATAAATAGCCACGAAGACTATGCATAGTTGGAACTTTATACCCCAGACTCATGCTGCAAAGTGCATCAGCCATAGATTGAAAATACGCAGAATTAGGTGCATTAAATGGCACAGAAGAATCAATGAACCATCTTGCAATAGCTAGATCACACTTCTCCACCAATTCCTTACTTTGTAACACATTTTTTAAAGAAGGTTGAACACCAGGAGTTATTCTAGGCATAAAATAATTACCAATACGACTAGTATTCTTTCTCTTTTGAGACACAATCACCGAATTTGATCTTGATTATTCTACATCCATTTCTACTACACCACCCTCTTGAGTAGTAAGATCAACATTAAAATTTTGTACTTGAGTCTTTCTTCTCTTATTTGCACCTTCATCAAGATTTTGTTTCATTTGATATTGAACATCTGAAGGCACCTTTTTATATGTTTCAACTTGACCTTTTATTCCAGCCAAATGGAATTTGAACCTATTAATCCCCCTCCTCTAATAATTTTATCACAGTAAATACACAAATTAACAAGCTTTCCTTTCTCTTCAATTTGTTTACAATGACCCCAAGCTATATCATTTTTCCCCTATGCTCTGGAGTTGGGTTGGATTTTGAGATGTAACTTCTTCCGAAGTTATTACTTCAGCGGGTGATGTCATATCTAATATCAATCAAAATTTAAAAATACAAAATTATATTACAAAAATATTAGCAAAACACAATTCTAAACAAAAATTATTGAATTTATAAAAACATTATAAGAAACATTAAATATGTAGCATATCTAAATCCAAAATATATGAATATGTTGTTGTATATTACATATAGGCTACCAATCATCGTTACTGTGCATCACCATATATAATAAAAAAATAGAAACTTTGCTTTCCAGCCTTTGCTATATATTTTAGATTAATAAAATCTTGAAACTTTTCTTTGTTATATAATTTAAATTAATAAAAAAACAGAAAACTTTGTCTTACTATATAATTTAGATTACATAGTTTTAAACCCAATTTCTATCTCCATAATATATACAACGACTATTACAGTAATATATATCTATCCCAATTTCTATCTCCAATATACAACAACTTCATTATCAGTCTATAATAAGTTAATTCATAAAAGTATAAAACTGCTTCATTCATACAAATTCTATCTCAATTTGTTAAGCTAAAAGATCCAATTTTATAGAAAATGATCAAATTTAATCATTTATTTTCTATATCAATTAATCAACAAAATGAAACAATAATATTCATATTGAAAAACATCAATGCAAATTAGACCAAGTAAAAAAGAAATAACTTGTTTTTTATGTTTTGATGAAAATTTTAACGGCAAACAAGGAATATCAAATAACAGCAGCAAGTGAGAGTTTTTATTGGTAGAGAAAATTGAGAATATGACTTCAATTAGAAAAAGAAAAGACAAAATAAAAAATAAAACCTTTCAAATGCATAGGTTTGAGAAACCATGAGTGAAAGCGGTTATGTTTTTTTTTTTCAAAAGCCCTAAAAAATAAAATATATAGTCAAATCTGCCGGTTCAGTAAAAACCGTCGGTTCACTGATTTAACCGGTGATCCGGCCGATTCAAACCGATTTCATCCGGTTTAAATGTAATTTCGATCTTATCTCTTAATCGGACCGCCTGACCCATCGATTCTCAGTCAGACCGGTCCGACCCGGGTTTTAAAACACTGCATAATCTAATTATCAACAAACCCATATGTAGCAATCATTCCTTCGCCATGGCAGCTGCTACCACTAGCTTTGGAACTGCCTGGTGTCTAAGAAGAGCAACTCACGCTTTCGCACTTTCTCATCTCCGCACCAATGTCAACCTCTCTTTTCCAAGCACCCTCACCTCTCACCTTCTCTCCCTTTCCACTCCTTCAGGTCTCTACTTTCTCCGTCCATTTTTATTTTATTGCTGGCGTTCTATGTAAGTTGATTCGGTTTGTTATTCCCATTATGTACAATCGTTCAAAAGGTGATTTTTTTTATAAAATGAATTGTGGGTATTGAAAAACCAAGCCCATGAAATCGTTTATTTTGTACAACTCAACATGGCGATGAATATAATTTAATTAGGCTATAGGGTTTCATAGATTGTAACTAAGTTGAAAACTTGGCGTTTGTAATCTATAAAGCATGCGGACACTATACTTACACGTGACACTGATAATAATTTGAAAAAAAATCATAAAGTTGGTGTCAGACACACACACGGACACAGGCACGCCATTTTTCAGAGGTGTCTGTGATTGTGGGCAGACTTGTTGCTCAAAAGTATTTTACTTTGCTACATGTGAAGTAATGGATTATCAAATGTGTTGTTGAGAGCATGTGTTTTTCTAAGTAAAACTTTATTCAGAATAAAAGCAAAATAAGGGGCTTAACTAATCAATTAATCAAATCGACTTGAGCCATGGGCCATGGCCCGTGTTTCCATCCATGTAAAGGAGATTGTTGGTAACTTGTATGTTGGTGCCAGTGGTTATGTTTATGACTGAAACATATATTCGAGTAATAGTGTTTCTGAATGGATAGCTTTTAAGTCTTGTGATTGTGCATTACTGCATTCCCCTTCCTAAATGTTAAGATGTTTTGATGCATTATTCTTTGATCACCTGGTTGATGATTTATGAAGATATATTCTGGTTGATGCAGAAGATATATTCACGAATCATGATTACTTTTGAGCTGCAGTTCATTAAAATATGCATTTCTTGTTAGCTAAATCATTATTTAGGCATCTCAACAACAACCCAATTTCACATTGGCCAGGGCCGTCTTTGAGGACGTGCAAGACAGACTACCGCATAGAGTCCAAAATTTGTCATGGTTAAATCGCAGTTAAATAGGGCCTCATAAAATATATGTCTTTGTTAAACTATGGTTAAATAGGGCTCTAATTGTTTTGTCATGGTTGAACCAATGCTTACCTACACAGAACCTCCAAAAACTTAAGAAAACTCTGACATTGGTAATGCTATTGCTATGTGTCGTGTAGATTCAAGTGCAAGCCAAGCAGTACAAGCTTCAAAAGGAGAAGTTGATGTACTGCTCAAGGGAGTTGGGGAGAAAAGTGTAGCTAATGAAGTGAAGCATGTTCTTGAGATGGTACTTTCTTGTTTTTCTCTAATCAATATGAATTTCATTCTAGATTGTCACAAGCTTGGAACTCGGTTTCTTTTCTTCTCCGCATGGAAGTCTGATATTAATTACCTGTGTCAGAAATTGAGGTCTGGTTGTGCCTTGGAGCCATTATATCTTTGTATGCTATAAAACATCATTTGATCACTAACTTGGTTGTTGTCAATTCCATTTGACTTTGTTATAGGCTAGACGAGCATCCTTAAAACGAGAGATTCTCCACACAAAGTTTCTAACCCCTCCAGTGCTGGAGGAATCTATGCAAGTATTGGAAAAATTAGCCGACGTTAAAGCATTGGTGCAAGGAGGTTATCCACAGGTAATTATCGTACAAGTGCTTTCCATTGCCGTGATACAGTAAAGTGCTTGCATTGTATCTATCTCATGTACACACATAACATACATATTCTCTAGGCCGAGCGATGCCGGATTTCTGTTGGACATCCAGATGAACTGACAAGTGATCCAGATGTTATTTCGGCATTGAGGTAAATTTTGTAATTTTCGCTACCAAAATTGCCAAACTCAGGGAAGTAATTATTGATGCTCCTAGATACCTTTCTTAGTATTTGCATAAAATTTCTCTTTTCAGCATTACGGGGAACTTCCAGTTTGAACCTTGCTCTCATGGTGACTTCCTTGGTTCAATTCTTGGTACAGGAATTTCTAGGGAGAAACTGGGAGATATTATATTGCAGGTACTCTATATTTTCCTCCATTTATCACACAAGCTTTCTAGGTTAAACTTCACTATGTGCACAAACTTGTAGCAATATCAGAGTTCAACAATATTATTGGTTTCGCAATATGCATACACACAAAATCCCTCATCGTATATTTTAAAACTTGGACTTTGTTGCGTTGACTACCCAGGGGGAACAGGGTGCTCAGATAATTGTTGTACCAGAACTAGTTGAATTTCTTATGACAGCACTGGATAAGGTAAAACTATTCACTTGCTTCTTTTTACAATTTCCCTTGTTAAAACATTGAATTATCAGAAAAAAAATAATCGTATAATTGTAGTAGTGTTGCTTATTAAGTTCTGATCGTATGCTTCTTTCTTATACTCAGGTTCGAAATGTTCCTGTAACCTGCACCAAGATACCATTAATTTCTCTTGATTATGAATCACCAAGGTGTTGTATCGTATCGAACCCAGTCTCGTTAACATAACACGTAATTGTGTGATTCAGACTTACAGATTTTGCTTATTGTGCAGAACGAAATCATTCAAAACTATAGAAGCATCACTAAGAGTTGATGCAGTAGCTAGTGCAGGATTTAAGATTTCACGTTCAAAGCTAGTTGACATGATCAGGTTCGCAATCCTCAATTTATATATATCATGTATGTGCAATATTTTTGAATTGGTTATAACTGTGATAAACATATCGTGATTATAGCAATGGAGATGTACGTATCAACTGGATCCCAATTACTACCAAAGGAACAACAATCAAGAGTGGAGATCTTGTATCAGTTAGTGGAATGGGAAGATTAAAGGTAATAACTAACTTGTAAAAGCTTAAAAGAAGGATCATCTGAATGAATGAGTTTGGATATAAACCAGTTCCTTTTATTTATTTGATTTTGGTTTCAGATAGGAGAAGTTAACACCACAAAGAAAGGAAAGTTTGCAGTGGAGCTCATTCGATATTTGTAGGAAGTTTTTCATTGCTGCACAGAAAAAGTGTATATACAAAAAATATATAATTGGCAAATAGCTTTTGAAATTTCAAGTATAATAATATTGAACTTCAAGTATGCTGCATAGGTAGTATTATAAACTCTTCATAGTCATAATTTTGCTGTTAATTTGAATTTACTCTTCCCTAATTTTGCTGTTGTTGAAAAACTAGTAAAATAGTGTTATATAATTGATAAAAGTATATAATTAGTGTGGAGAGTGCACCACATGAAACATGTGAGGGATCAAGGAAAGTAAGGGTGTTCAAAACCGAACCAACTCCATAGAAAACAGTAAATCAAATCAAACTAAATCGAAACCGTAAAAAATCGTATTTGATTCAGATGTGTTTGGGTCATCTTTTAACAGAACCGTACGGTTCGGTTTGCGGTTTGTATTTTGCAAATCGAATCAAACCGCATTATGTTACAACCTAAATTCTACTTAACTCACATCTAACTCAAACCTAAACGTACTATACCTTAGCCTTATGATTACGAACAATTTTTTTATCCTTACGTTTATAGTTTCAGTTTCAATCTTCTCAAATCTATTTTAGTATGATCGCGTATTCTTTGTCACATACATATTGCATCTTCTTCAATCTATACTCTCTTATATTCTTTCTTTTTCACCTTCTCATTTTTATGCAAATATTCTCTTTTTCAATTTCATTTTTATCACACATTTTTTTCTCTAATCTCTCATCTCTTATATTCTTTCTTTTTCATCTTCACTAATCTCTCATCACTTCTATTTTTTTCTTTCGTTATAATATTTTTGATATTGTTTTATACTATTATTTTATGTTTATTATTCCACTTTTGTCTAATCTAATTTTTACATATTAAATGAGAACTTGTCCAAATATGATGAGTTTTGTTATTATTTCCGAGTGTATGAATGACTAAATACAAAGTTTTGTTGTCATCTATACGTGTATGGATGACTCAATAAAATATTTATAAAAATCCGAACCAATCGAACCGAATCAAACCACATTGGTTTGGTTCAGTTTTTTTCTAAAAGGCAATCGAAGCAAACCAAACCGCATATTTTTTCTCTTGCGGTTCAGATGACTTTTAGTGTCAAAACCTCTCAAACCGCACCACGAACACCCCAGAAAAAAAAATGTCGAAGAATGAAGTAGCATAGTGCGTGTGCAAGGTGTTTAAGTTAGTTAGAGTATTTTGGATTGGTGGTTTGAGATGGAATGAAATATAATAGAATGGTAAATAAAGAGAATTTATTGTTAAAGAGAATTTATTGTTTGAATTTATAAATAATGGATGGAGTGGAACTGAACATCATGGAATTCATTCCATCAAATTCTTCATTTTTTTTCCTATCCGATTTGGGATATATGTAATTGAATGAGACATTTTGAATAAAATATTTAAACAATAAAATGAGATATATTTTCTATTCGGCTTCGTTCCATTCTACTCCATTATATTCCATTTTGCTCTTTATATTCTATCAATCCAATTGTAGCATAGAATAAGGTGGTACAGGTGAATCATATTAAAATTTTGATATTGGAAAGAGGTTATTCTCTGGTGGAGTCACTTGGCTTGACTAGTAGTATCCCTCTACTAGAGATGATTTCATTATTTTTCATGAGATTTCTCCATTATCAATTCAATACTATATTTCTTTATCCTTAATTATATCTCTATTCCTATTCTATTCTATTAATTGGCATGAGATTTGTGAATTGTTCATGAGGTAGATAGTGGGAGATTTTTGAATTGTTTATGGCACTCAAAATGGAAGATAAAGTGGAAATTCTTGAGTATCAGATGATCAAGATGCACATGGATATTGACGATATTAAGACAACGATAACAATGTTGATTGATTAGTTCCAAAAGCAAAACATGATTCTCTTTGAGATGGAAAAATAGCTAGGGAAGAAACCAATTGTTGAACTAGACGAATCAGAGGAGTCTCATGGTGGACTTTGCAATGGTTCCCACTCTGATGATTCACATTTGACACTCAAGAAAAGTGAACTCCCAATGTTCGACAGAGAGGATCCCGTGGCTTGGATCACGAGGGTAGAAGTTTACTTTTATGTTCTTAGTTCATTGGAGGAGATGAAACTTCGATTGACATGACTATGCATGAAGGGTGCTAAGATTCATTGGTTTAACCCGTGGATGGAAACTGGTGATGAATTATCATGGGAGAAACTGAAGTTGTGTTAATAGCATATTATAGAGGTTGGAGATCAGATAATCCGTTTGAAGAGTTGTCGTTGTTACGACAATCATGAAGTGTGGCAGAGTATGTTGAGACGTTTGAGCAATTATCATCTCACGTGGGAAGGTTTCAGGAGAAATAATACCATGACAAACTTAAATCGACTGATTTTTTCTATAATATCAACTTTTATTCATAAAAACTAATTACTATTTTATATTTTCTTTAAATAATAGGATTAGACCACGTTAATAAGGTTTCTTACTAATACTACTAAATTATTTGAAATATAAAATATGAAAATTATATATATATATATATATATATATATATATATATATATATATATATATATATATATATATATATATATATATATATATATATATATATATATATATATATATATATATATATATATATATATATATATATATATATATATATATATATATATATATATATATATATATATATATATATATATATATATATATATATATATATATATATATATATATATATATATATATATATATATATATATATATATATATGAAAATTTTTAAAGATCATTAAATAAAATAAATCTTTTAGATTCATTGACTATTTTTCTTAAAAAAAATCTATAAATAATTACGGGTGTTAATAATAAGAGAGAGTGCATATATTTAATATAATATGTTTAGATCAGTCTCACAAAAGTCTCTAAAAAATAAAATATGATATATATTGTGTATGGTGCGGGTCAAAAAAATTGGCTTGCTTCGCAAATAAAATAAGGTTGGGACGAGACAGACCCACGACCACTGCACTTTTAAAATTTAAAAATTATAGAAATTAATATTAAATAGTAATGAGAATATGAAGTTATTGATCAAAATATTAAATTATAACGAGATATGAAGTTACTGATCAAAATATTAAATAATAACGTGAATACGAAGTTACTGATTAAAATATTAAATAATAACGAAAATACAAAGTTAATGATTAAAATATTGAATATTAATGAAAACATGAATTTATTGATCAAACTATTAAATATTAATGAGAACATGAAGTTACTAATTAAAATATTGAATATTACGGGAATATGAATTTATTGATCAAACTATTGAATATTAACGGAAACATGAATTTACTGATCAAAATATTGAATAATAACGAGAACATGAAGTTACTCATCAAAATATTAAATAAAAACAAAAACATGAAGTTATTGATCAAAATATTGAATATTAACGAAAACATGAAGTTACTGATCAAAATATTAAAGAGAAAATAAAGTTATTTATCAAATTATTGAATATTAACGAGAACATGAAGTTATTAATTAGAATATTTAATATTAACGGGAATATGAAATTATTAATCAAACTATTAAATATTAACAGGAATATGAAGTTACTAATCAAAATATTTAATATTAAAGGAAACATGAATCTAATGATCAAAATATTGAATATTAACGAAAATATTAAATTCTATATCAAAATATTGAATATTAATTGAAACAAAAAATTACTGATCAAAATATTAAATATTAACAGGAAAATAAATTTACTGATCAAAATATTAAATAATAACATAAATATAAAATTACGGAAACATAGAATTATTGATCAAAATATTAAATAATAATAGAAAATTATTGATTAAATATTTTTAAGAATCAAAACAATTATAGACACTGATTTATTATTTATTTTAAAAAATTATTTTATTATTTTATAATATTTTAGAAACAAACGCATACGAGTATCCATTAATTATTCTAAAAGAATTATAAATTCAATAATACTATTAAAAAATATATTTATAAATCTCTATCTAACGTTATTTGAATTTGATTTTTTTACGACATTATAGTCATCCATATTAAATTTAATTCTGAATTAATAATTCTTACAATGTTAATAACTTCTTTTTTTTTTAATTTTCTGACAGTTAGCCGAGTCACAATACAATGAATTACCGAATTATACCACTTTACTGACATGTTTTTGGCATGTCTTATGTTTTTAAGTTTTTAGTAGTTATTTTTTTTAATATCCTTTTTAATTTTATTTTTAATAATTTAGAATCAACTGAGTAATTAACCCAGAAATGGAATATTAAATTTAAGACCTTGATATGAATTACTTTAAGAACAATAAGATAAAAAAATAAAAATAAAAACACAATAACATAACTTCAATAGAGGATAAATAATGGAATACTAGTACCAAAGTAAATAATAGGGGAGGACATACTACATTCTTGGCTTTCCATAAATCTAATAGTCTTCTTTTATTCCATGAAGAAATATGGCCATAAAACTTTATATGTATAAAAAGAAATTGATTTCTTAAAATTTGGTAAGTTCTTCATATATAATTATTTATATCGCAAAATACAAATTTATAATATATAGTTTATTAATTCGTATACCTTGTAATAATCAATTAACTTCATTTTATGCATATCCACAAAACCCATTCCCACACGGTTCACCAGATGAACACTTCTTGTTACAATTTCCACAATTACGAACATTTGACAAAACATTGGTACATACTCCATTGCAACATCTTTCACCTTGCTTGCACTTGTGACCACACACATTACAATTGTTCTTGTCACTTAAAACATTGCGACAATGTTTCTTGCAACAAAAAAGCAAATCTTTCCCCTTGTTAGCTCTAACTCCATTGCATATATTATTACTCTCGAGATTACAACGTGTCCCTTTCTTTATTATGCTTGCCAAGAATCTACTTCTTGATGAT